TATATCGCATTATTGCTAACTATAGTTACTACACAATAAAACACCAGATGTGATACCTAAAGTCCAATTGTAACATGGCACACACTGACCAAACTCCCCTTAGGCTCTGATAACAACTCTGTCTTTTTCAATTTCTATGAGATAAACTTTTAAAAAAATGAATGATATTGTGCAGAATTTTTCTTCCTGTGCCTAGCTTATTTTACTTAATATAATGTCCCTCTAGACCATCTGTGCTGTTGCAAATGACAGAATTGTTCTCAAGAAAAAGAAACATAGTCTTTAAAGTGTTGGATATGCTATGTTGCAAATTATATACATGTTCTAAAACATGATACTGGAATACAAGAATATGCACATATTTTATTTGTGAATTTTTAAAAAAATGTAGAATGGTGACAAAATTGATATTAGTTTCCAATGGTGACAAAATTGATATTAGTTTCCTATGGTTTTTCTGCCTGCAAGACAGCTTTCTCTATAACATTTCCCAGGCTTTGGCCTCTCCAAGAGTCATTCCTCAAGAATCAAGAAAATCTGCCCACCCAAGGCAGTGATTCTTCAAAATCGTAATTTGTCAGGGAAACAAAGTGCATCCTACAGATGCATCAAATGAAGGTACTATGGAAATCCCATCATTGAATTATTCAAGAATGCTAATTTCTCTCTCATGTTTAAGAGAAGATTTAAAAATTTTATACCATATTCTTACATTTCATATGTGAAATTTTAAATTCTTAAAGACAATCAGCATTGCTACACATTCAGAAGTAACATATTTACAACTTAAAAAGTTTTGTTCACTTACAATGGTAAAAACTCAATATAATATTTAGATATTTAACCAATTGTTGAACATTAGCTGAAATAGATCTCTTCCTAAAACAGTGTCTTCTGATTTAATAGAACTAATTAGGAACACTGTTAACAATCAAATTATACAGATAGTACAAATAGTTCTCACACCCTCCCCTGCACTGGCCAGATTGCTCATTTGGTACATTTCTTGGATGAGTAAATGATATATTATGAGCAACTATAGTCCAGATTTTGCATGAAAATTCAGTGGTGCACAGTTCTGGGGATTTTGACAAATGTATGACATCATTCATAGCCATTAAAAAATAGTTAACTTGCTCTAACAAATTATTTTGCATGTGAATCCCACTCCCCTTTTCCCAGAAACCTTAGCATTCATTGAATTTCTGCTCTTTATTGTCTTTCTTTCCCATAATTTCATATAGTTAAAATCACAGAGTATCCAATTTTTCAACCTTATTTATTTTATTTAGCAGTATGCCTTCCAGATTTCTTTTTTTAAATCTCTTTGGAACTCCATAACTCAATTATTTTTACTACTAAATAATATTCCACTAGGTAGATTACTACAGTTTGTTGTACATTCCACTTACTATGCAGGATATCTCAATTTTTCTGTAGTTTGGGAAAGTATGAATAAAGTTGCTATAAACATTCCTAGGTTTTTTGCTATAAACATTCCTAGATTTTTCTGTGGTTGTAATTTAAATTTTTTTTATTCATGCACATTAGCTGTAAAGAATAATGGATTGCCTTGTGGTGTGTTATGCATTCAGATTACATTACTTTGGCCATTACTTTGACCATTCTCTTTCTCTCCAACCCCTACCCCATCCCATTCCTCTTCTCTAACAGTTTCCCTTCTACTTTTATAGACATAGTTTTTTTAATACAACTGTATATTTACCTAGGATTATGATCACTTCCTTGAATGGTAAAATTAGAATTTTGTAAATGTTATCATTTGGATATGAGGTGCTTGCTCAAAGCTCCTGTTGAAAGATCTAAGCAATCTCAATTCTACTTAGGACCTCATTTTTCTCTGAAACTTAACCTCTGACTGACTGCAGTCCTAAAGTCAGGAAAATACCACAGAAAAGCTCTGTGGAAACAGTTCTCGGAAAAAGGAAAAGCCACAGATGGTGATCGCCTAAGATAGGCCAAGATATTGAAATATCTAAAATTCCAGATGGCTCCCACCTAGGTGTGGTGACCAATATCTGAACTAGAAGCCCTGCAGTTTGGCACGTACCCCCCTTGTGACATCCTCATGATTTAAACCAATCAATTTTAAATGCGTCAACCCTTGGAACTAACCAATATTTTTTTCCAGATTCTTTCCTGCCACTTGATATGCTAATCATGTTTTAGAGTTGTTATTTGATTTTCCCGTGGTGTGTGATGATTTGCTAAGAGATGCTATGATGTATATGGGGGTCCCTGCCTTCTCCAAAGAATGTATAAAACTGCTGCAAACCCTGGGCTCAGGGCCTCTCAGCGTCACCAGTTGCTGTGTGTGCGCTCAGAGGACCGAGCTAGCTCTCAATAAACACCTCTTTGCTGCTTACATCAATCTTGGTCTCTGGTGGTCTTTTGGGGATCCTGAATTCAAGCATAACACTGTGTTAATGCAGAAATGTTGGGAGATGAAATGATTGGATTGTGATAGTTTCAACTTAATCAGTCCATCAGTTTGAATGGACTAACTGGGTGTTAATTGTGGGCAGGTGGAGCTGTGGATGGACAAGGTGGTTCATTGGTGGGATGCCTTGCAAATTAGTCACTGTCCCTTTTTCTCTCTCTGGTTCCTGGCCACCATAAATGAAGCAGTGTTCCTCTACCAGGTTCTTCTGTTGTGATGTTCTGCCTCATCCTTGGGCCCAGAGCAATGCAGTCAGCCTGCCATGGACGAAATCTTTGAAACCATGGGCCAAAATAAACTTTTTCTCCTCTAAGTTGCTCTAATCAGATATTGTGGTCACAGTGACAAAATGATAACACAATAGGATCATTGAACCCATCTAAGACTGGTTCTTTCTCTTTTTAAATGCTATTAATTGACTTTTCAATTTATCTAGTAGACAAAGAACAGTTCAGACTATCTTTCTCAATGTATAAATATTGGTGATTTCTGCCAGTAAAGAATTGGTCCATTTCAACCAAGCAAAAAAGAAAAAAAAATATATATATATATATAGATAGATAGATAGATAGATAGATAATCAGAGAATGGTTAAAAGTATTCTGTCATTTCCTTTTCTTTTTTGTCGTCTTATTTGTGTGTGTGTGTGTGTGTGTGTGTGTGTGTGTGTGTGTTACTAGAGATTTAATCTAGGGGCACTTTACCACTGAGCTACATCCCCAGCCCCTTTTTTGATTTCTATTTTGAGACAGGGTCTCACTAAGTTGCTTAGGGCCTTGTTAAGTGGCTGAGGCTAAACTTAAACTTTTGATCTTTCTGTCTCAGGCTCCTGAGACACTGGGATTACAGGATTACACCACTGCTCCTAGCTGTATTCCATTGTTTTTCTTTAATTTTCCATGGACTTAGTAATGATAATAAGTCTTAATTTGTAGTATTGGTTCATTGTTTCTTCTTTTTTCTTGTGGTAAAGGTGGCTAATGGTTTGTCAGCACTGCCAATCATTTAAATAACTACATTTTGGGTATGTTGATCTTTGATATTGATTTTCTTTATTTCCATTACATTGATTTTTGTTATAATTGGGTTTTTGTTTGTCTGTTTTGTAAAAATGCCTTCACTCCTGATTTCCAAAGGTGTGAGATTTGATTGTTGGTTTTAGGCCTTTTTGTTATCTATATATTGCATGCAGTAAAAGAGATTTCTCTCTGAGCACTGTTTTCACTGCATCACATAATTTTTAAAAGGCACATTCTCATTTCATTTTGGTCAAAATATAAAAACATCCATGTAGCTTTAATCTTTGGCTCATCTATTTTATAGGCTATATTGTTCAATCTTCAAATATTTGAGGGTTGTCCATTTGTCTTTTGGTTGTTGAATTCTGATTTAAATCCACAGTAGTATGGGAGCATATTTTATATTTTTGCATTTTTTCAACTTTTGGA